CTGAGCTCGATGAATTTAAGTTGACCGTGGACGCTGGCAGGACTGGTGTGACACGGCATCTTCCAACGGTGCTAGGGGCCTCTGCCGCGCTAGGAGAGTCCCTGATGCACCACGTCGTTCAGCCGCCCAAGCTGCAGGCGGTTCCTCGGCCCACCCGCGCGACGCCGTCGAGGCTGAGGTGCGCAAGTACGAGAAGTTGCGGCATGCTGATCAGATTCCCAACCAGGCGTGGACGCTTGACAGGTCTGCGATGCCTCGAGCCAGCGCGGAGCATATCCGCAATGTGGCGAACAGCTTTCCTTGCGTGACTACTTCAAGTCTTGATCGAGTTCAATCTCGGCATTTCGGTCTACGATCTGACGCTGGAGTTGAGACGGTGGCTGCCCTTTCTGAGGCGCGTGAAAGGCTCGGTCTACTTCCGAGGAAGCTGTGCTTTCTCAGCATGCCCATGTTGGCGAAGATACAGGGCATCGTCTCATCATACTATACTCAGGTCTGCATCGTGTTTGGCAGCGCCTCCGCAGGCGTGACCTTTCCGAACTCCTCAGGCACCTTCGACGTCCATGTTGGGGTGCTGTGGTTGGCCGCAGTGCGCTCGACCTCTTTTGGCTGCAGGCTGCTCGTAGAAAGCTGGGGTAAGTCAAACAAGATACAGTATGCTGCTGCTGGGTTACAGGAAGTATTCTGAAAGCCTTCCATTGCAAGTTCTTCGCGGTGGACCCCTGGCGCGCGGCGCGCCGGGGCCGATCCTCAAGTTGCTGTTCAACACGTGGCAGCCGCCACGCATTATTCGATTGGGATTGCATCGCAGTGGCGCAGTCTTTTTTCCCACCTTTGGGCTCCCAGCAGGATGAGCTTTAGCTGATGTTGCAGTTCGCGCCGTCACAGTGTCTGAGTATGACAAGCTCGTGCACCGCAACCCGTCCTTGGATTTCATGAGCTACATCGGCGATGCTGGTGTCCGTGTCAGCGGCGCTGGTCGCGATGCCGTTGTCGGAGTGGCAGTCCGTGCGTGCATTCAGTTTCAGTTGTCGCGGTCGCGAGCGATGCTGCAGTGGGCCTGGAGGTTGCCGCCAATATTGTTCTAGCCAAGGAGAAGGCCAATCCAGCTGCGGCTTACCTCGGCGCTGATTTTGCTTCTGGGCGGCGACGAGAGCACGGGCGCACGGCTGGCAAGCGCAAGACACGCATGCGTAAGTCTTTTCCGAGATTGACCGAGGCGGCCGGTCTGAAGTCAATGAAGCGCGCTGGTGACCGGCTGGGGAGTGTCTACACGACTGCGATCAAGATGGCAGCCCACTGCGGCGTCGAGGTCACAGGCGTAGACGACCAGGAGTTACTCGCCATCCGTCGCCATGCTATGTCATACCTAGCACCTGCGACGCGAGGCGCGAGCCTCCGCGCCAAGCTTGTTTTACATGGCGAGCCAGCCATGCGGGAGGCGACGGTCCTCGCGCTCCAGTGGTACAACAATGATACAATGATTTGACAGGCAGCAGCCTTCCCGCCTGACACCCTTGCGAGTATCAATAAATCCGAGCACATGTGGCATCCGTTTTTTTCCCCCAGGACGTTTCAGAGGTGACCTGGGCCCATGCGCGGGGACCGATTCCCAGGGTCCCGCTGCGCACTGCCCGTGCAAGGTGGACGCCGCTCTCTGCCGCTGCGTGGGGCAGCCAGGATAGAGTCACGATCCAGCTCGCCCAGTGCCCCCCATCCATGCTCGGTCGGATGTTTAGCGCTGCGTTCCAGGATGCCCATGAGAAGGCTATGGAGGAGAGGTGGGGGTTGGACCCTGGGGCGAGGGCGAACGCGGGTGCAACGAAGGCCTGTTCAAAGGCCAAGTCGGCCAACTACTCTACGTGTCAGAAGTACTAGTGCGCGCCGCTGTCTGCGATTGCCCGCGGACACGAGCAGCTTGCCCACTTGAACGGAGACCTGCGTGGAGAGAGCTGGCCGCTGCGAGCGCGGTGGGCAAGACGCAGTCCACCACCGTCTTTTCCGTTGTACCCTTCCCGTTGTTATTCAGGCTTGCTCCGAGGCGGATGCGCCGTCAGCTTTCTCTGAAGAAACGAGGGGAGATCCAGCGAGCTTGTTGCACGGCAGAGGCGTTGTCTCCGCGCCCCCAGGCGATGTTCCCCCCATGTTCGAGGCCCCCATTGCGGAGGTCCTGGGCGGTCAGGGGGGAGGGTCACCCCGACCTCGAGCCCGAGCAGGCGTTCCAGTTTGCAGGCGTTGCTGGGAGGTTGCGCTTGGCAGTGGGTGGCAGCAGCGCGGTTCCGATGTTATAGTGTTTCCAGTGTGCTGTCTATGCCGTCAGTTTTTGGGCCCCCAGACCGAAACCGCCCTCTTTGTTGCGCGTGGCGAAGTGCCTGGAGGTTCCCCGCAGGCCCCACCCATGGCTGAGAATTTCTCGTCGGTCGTGGTTTGTCAGATTGCGGCTAGAACGTCGCATGCGCATGCAGACTGCAAAGCAGCCGTCCGCCAATCCCTCCCCCCGAGCACGAACAGTTTCGTGCCAGTAATGTGTGTTGCGGGGGTGTCGGCTTTCGCCGGGTCCCTCGAGGGACACGGGCATGTTGAATCAGTGTAGCATGTGCAGACCCATCGGAATGGTGATGCGATAGATAGCTCACCGCCTGTGGAGCGCCATACAGCGAAAGGTAACCGCGTGGCCGAACTGCACGCTAAACCGGCTCTTTCCCTCTACCCCCCCAGTCGGCCCTGGGGCGGTCAGCAGGTTAGAGGATGAGGTGGAGAGAGCATCGTTATTTGTCAAGCTTGCTGCGTCGGTGCTCCTTGTTTTCCAGTCCAGAGCCAAGCGAGCGAGACCCTCTGTCCGCCGTGGGTCAGTTCAAGTATCCCCTGGCTGGCATGACGTGCAAATGGGCCCGCTCGGTGTGCAGTGCAAGCAGTGTTTGAATATTGCCCACGATAGGGAGCCCCTTAACCCCTGAATTCGGTCGTCAGGCCGTCCGCCGTGCTCTGGGGTGCTGGGGTGCTCTGGGGCCCCTGGGTTCGGTCGTCAGGTCGTCCGCCGTTCCCTGGGGCACCTGACTGTGGGCGTGGCCTCACGCGAGATCCGCCCCAGAGCCCTTAAGGCCTCTCAGTCCACGGCTTCGAAGTTTCAGAGGCTTCAGCTCTTGTGTGTCAAATGTGGTTGCTGGGCCCAACGGTGTTCTCGTAATCTTGACGAAGTCTGCAAGACAGCTTCGAGAAAAGGCCGCGCGGCACTGGCCAAGTGCCAACGTGGCCTTGGCCCGAGCAGTCGCGTGCGACAGTTCATTGATAGAGCATCTGCGGTGTCGGCGTTGCCCGCGTTACCCAAGCCGCGGTGTAGGACTCTTGCGCGCACTTTTGCCCCGTCGGCCCTGTCGGGCGCCCCTGCAGCCCCTGAGTATGAGAGGCGTTTGGCTGCCGTCGCGGAGCGAATGCGGACCAGGGAGGCGTTCAGGGCAGAGCAACAGTTGGTCGTGGCACCCCGTCGCGGGCCCTGGTCAGAGCGCGTGGGAGTTTTGTCCTCCAGGGTACCAAATGCCTCCCTGAGGGGTGCCACAGACCTCCCAGTGTCAGACTCGCGGGTCTCCTCCCCTTGCGGTTGTCCTAACCAAACCTCCTCCTCCCACTCCTCCTTTTCTTCTTCTTCCTCCGTCTCCTCCTCCTCCTCCTCCTTCTCCTCCTCCTCTTCCTCTTCCTCCTCGCTTTTAGAACAAACTATCACGCCGGGAGGTTGTTCGCAAGCTTTCTGGTTAATGCAAGAGGGGGGGTCAGTGATCAAGGGGGTGGTGCCATGGAGTTGGTGCAAGACATTGGCGGTGCGCAAATGTATTGCTTGATCTTCGCGTGAGATGCGTCGGCTGCAATACAATGCGCGGCATTTCTCGGTCGCAGTACATCTGCATTATAATTGCCCCCAACCTACTGCACCACCCCCTTTCAGCTGGACCCCTTTTTTGGGTCAACCAAAAGTTTCGGTCCTCCTGGTGGCCCTTACCGGGCCTTGGGACCGTCGAAAGACGGCTCGGGATGAAACGCCTGTCCCGGGGAAGGGGTCCAGACCATTGGGGGTCGACGTTCTGAGAAAAACAAAAAAAAATGACGTCGAGGGTATGGAACCCGCTCCGACCTTCGGTCCCCCCAGGGCGCTTACACAAAGCCGTGGCGCTCAAGGCATCCTCCAGAGCCGCAGAGGTTCTCGATTTATCCTCACCCGATGCTATCCTCGGCCTGGCTTCGTCTTACCTCCCCCACTCCCCGTGGGGCGGAAGCCGCAGGCTCGTTGTCGCCGTCGCCGTCGTCGTCGTCGTCGTCGTGCTTGTCGTCGTCGTCGTCGTCGTCGTCGTCGTCCTTGTCGTGCTTGTCGTCGTCGTCGTCGCCGTCGTCGTCGTCGTCGTCGTCGCCGCCGTCGCCGTCGCCGTCGTCGTCGTCGTCGCCGTCGTCGTCGTCGTCGTCGTCGCCGTCGCCGTCGCGGTCGTCGTCGTCGTCGTCGTCGTCGTGGTTGTCGTCGTCGTCGTAGTCGTCGTGGGAGCGGGGCGGCCTCCCGCTCCCTCGGGGCCATCTCGGCTTCCCGCCCGGGGTTTCTTCGGAGCCCCCCCTGGAGCCTGAAGCTTCCTGGAGGGCCCTCGGGGCTCTCTCTCGAAGCCATTCGGGGCCGTTCTGGGGGTCCCGCCCAGGCCACTCTCTGAGCGTCGTGGCGCTCCCGATTCCGTGCGGGAGCCTCTCTCGGGCTGGTTTCAGACTCAGCGTGGGAACAGTGCGCGTGCGCAAATCATTCAACCGCAATGCGCTCGGCACGAGGATCGATCCGTTCCAGAGCTTTCCGGAACGCTCTCAGAGCGTGATTCTGGAACGCTCTGAGAAGGCCGCGGCGCCCAGGACATTCTCCAGAACCGCCAGATATCAGGGATTCTCGATTTATCCTCACCCGAATTTATCCTCGTCCTGGCTTCGTCTTGGGAGACCCGAACCCCCCGCTGCTCGGTGTCCCCGCGGGAGCCCAGGCAATGTCCGACAAGAAGTGGGCGGCGAGCAACATCTCCTTCGGGAGCGGCGGCGCGCTGCTGCAGAAGCTGCGCCGGCCCCAGGGGCCGCCGCGGGGGTCGCAGCTCGGCCCGCCGTGTGGGCCTGCGCCGCCGCGGGCAGCGCCACGGGCCCGAGGTCGGGTCGGGCAGCCCTCCCTAGATTCGGAGGTTGATAGACCTTCCTACCTCCTCCTCCTCATCCTCATCCTCCTCCTCCTCCTCCTCCTGACACTTCGATTGGCGAATTCACCGTTTTCGGTTCGCGAGAGGGCGTCGCGGCCGTCATTTTGCGGGTCCAGGTCCGTCGGTGTCTGTCCTGGGCCGTTTTCACAAAAGGGCGGTTTACTGAAGGGAGGTTTGTCCACCGCCGACAGCTGTGCCCGTCTCGCGGGACGTCACGGCAGGACACTCTTGGTGGCGCTGGGGCCGTGACAAGTCCTCTGGATGAGAAGCAGACGGCCGTTCAGAGAGGACAGGCTTTTATCTGGGGGCCGCGCGTCGGAACAGTCGAGGCTTCACACATCTGGGGCGCTCTCTCTGCTCCTTGTGGAGGACGATCAATGGAGAGGAAGCATGTTGCTAAATAATTTCCAGATGTCTAAAACATGTGTTCAACACGTAAAGCACATGTTTAAAGCATGGTTATAACATTTTCCCGACATAAAAAATCTGAAATTCAGTTTAAAACCGTTCAAACAGTTTAATCTCTACTCCCCCCCATCCTGCCTCCAACCATCCTCCCCTGCTCTACCTCCCCCGCCTCTCCTCGATGTTGTCCATCCCCCCCCGTTCCGCTGCCCTCTCGCTCGCCTCCTTCGCCTTCTCCCGGCGGGCCCCCTTACTCCCTCCTTCCCTCACTCACCCACTCCCTCCCTCCCTCCCTCCCTCCCTCTTGAATCTCCCCGGCGCGTCGGAAAGTTGGAGCCCATCTTTCACCCGCGATCTTGTGCAGGAGGGCGGATTTCGTACAGCAGGCTTCGACGTTGTCGTCGCGTCGTCGACGTTCGTCGTCGTTGGACGTTGCCGCCGTGTCCTGTCGTCGCCGTTGCCGTCGTTGGACGTGCAGGAAGCGTCCTGTCGTCGAACGCGTCGTGCGATCGTTACCGCTGCGACTCCAAAAACGATGCGCAGGAGGGTCAGTGCCGATGACCTCGGCTACGCCTAAGAGTGACCCTTCGCCGGAATGACCTTTGGTACGGGCCCAGATCCCCCCAGTGCCCCCCAGTATTCGCGGACGGGCTGAAGCCCCACCCTGACACGTCGATTAGTGAATTGTCCGTTCTCGGCTCTCGAGAGGGCGCCGCGGCCGTCATTTTCAAGGCTTGCGCCCGCCAGGTTTGGGCCCGAGGTCGTTTTCACCAAACCACGTTTTACTCTAGGGGTTCTGTCCATCCCCGGAGTAATGTCAGCTTGTGATTAACCAAGGCCAACCCTCCCCCCCCCCGGGGCTGATGAATATCACGCGCGCCAGGGAGAAGGAGGAGAGAGGAGGGGAGGGGGGAGAAGGAGGAGAAGGGGAGGACGAGGAAGATGAGGAGAGGTTGTTAACCACAAGTTGACAGTACTGGCTTGCGCGCTTGGATTAGGCCCCGCCGTGGGCCCCCGTCAAAGCCGTGGTCGCACCTGCGTGCCGCCGACGAGCTGCTCTCTCTCTCTCTCTCCTATCGGGCGCTCGCTCCTCCCTATGTAAGCGTCTCGGGGGGTCCCCGGAGGGGTCGGGGGCGGCGAAGGGGGGTGACGCCTAGGCTTAAGTCGGGCCTGTCCCTCTACAGGGGGGAAATTCAAAAATAGTAAAACTAGCGTGGCGAAAGACCTAACCATACGCAGTTGTGAATACCGAAAGTGTGAATACCATCTTCGCCCACGCTCCCTATGTGGCCACGGCGTCCCGCCGGAGCCCGACATGTTCAGGGACACGTTCGCGGCCGTCTTCGCGGGCGCCGACGACGACGAGGACGGCGCCCCCCTGACCGAGGAGCAGAAACAGGAGAGGGCTCTGATAGCCATGAGGGAAGCTGCCACTGGCGCCTTCGGTGGAGCTCCCTATGGGGCCACGATCCTCGTGATGGTGTGTGCCGACATTGCCCGAGGCCGCCATGCGAACCCTGCCAATGGGGCCTTCGGGGGAACTCCTACGGGGCCACGATCCTCGTGAGGGGTGCGCCGCGCCTTCGGTGGAGCTCTCTATGGGGCCACTATCCTCGCGGTGTGCGTGTGCGTGTTGTGTGTGTTGTGTGTTGTGCGTTGTGTTGTGTGTGTGTGTGTTGTGTGTGTGTGTGCCAATTTCGCCCGAGGCCGCCGTGCGAACCCTGCCACTGGCGCCTTCGGCGGAGCTCGGCCACGATCCTTGCGAGTGGTGTGCCGAAGTGGCCCGAGGCCGCCGTGCGAACCCTGCCGCCGGGGCATTCGGTGGAGCTCCCTACGGGGCCACGATCCTCGTGAGGGGTGTGCCGAAATGGCCCGACGCCGCCATGCCAGTTCCGCCGTTGGGACTGTAGGTGGAGCTCCCTAGGGGGCCACCGAACGTGTGAGGGGCGTGCCGAAATGGCCCGAGGCCACCATGCGAGTTCCTTCCGCCGCTGGGGCTTAGGTGGAGCTCCCTGCGGGGCCACCAAACGTGTGAGGGGTGTGTCAGAATGCCCCGCGGCCGCCGTGCGAGTTCTACCACTGGGACTTTAGGTGGAGCTCCCTATGGGGCCACGAAGCGCGTGAGGGGCGTGCCCCGAAATTGCCCGAGGCCGCCATGCGAATTCCGCCACTGGGATTTAGGTGGAGCTCCCTATGGGGCCACGAAGCGCGTGAGGGGTGCCCCGAAATTGCCCGAGGCCGCCATGCAAGTTCTGCCACTGGGACCTTCCGAAATGGCCCGAGGCCGCCATGCGAATTCCGCCACTGGGACGTTAGGTGGAGCTCCCTATGGGGCCACGAAGCGTGTGAGGGGTGTGCCGAAATGGCCCGGGGCCGCCATGCGAGTTCCGCCGCTGGGGCCGTAGTTGGAGCTCCCTATGGGGCCACGAAGCGCTGTGCTGGGTGGGTGAAACGCAGGGAGGAGGAGGAGGAGGAGGAGGAGGAGGAGGAGGAGGAGGAGGAGGAGGAGGAGGAGGAAGAGGAGAGGAGGAAGGAGGAAGGAGGAAACGCGCCGCACCGTCTCTTCAAAACGAGGACACAACACCACAGGATGGTTGGGAAAAACAGTTCGGGAACGATTGTTTGACCATTTGTGACTATTTATTCCCGACCTAACCCCGTGAGCTTCTCGGGGGATCCTCGGGGGTGCTGGGGGCGGCAAAGAGAGGGGGGTAATGATTAGGGGGGGGGGTATCTCCCCAGATTTCATGGCGCCTCTTTTTGTTTCGTTGCGTCCCCGGCCCCCCCCGTGGGGCCGCGCACGTGCCGCCGGCCATGATGTGGGGCCCTTCTTGGACGCCCCCCTCGTGGCCGCACCCGAGCGTGGGGGGTCCAGACTCCGCGGGGTTCCCCGCGGGGTCTCTGGGGGGCCACTCCCCGGGTGTTCTCGCGTTGCGTCGCTGTCATGGTTTGCTATGATCGTTGTTGCTGGCTCGCTCCGCGTCGCAGACAGCAGACAACAGGCATCATATAATGGCAGAGTACGGTAAAGTCCAGCACGACATCGCGTATCCATTGTGTTCATTTGCAGTGTTCTGCTTGGTCTTACCTTGCGGAAGTTTGCATTATGGTCTGGCACAGTTTGTTGCATCGTTTTGCGTTGTTATGCGTAGCCTCGCATTGCGTTGCGCAAATCAGCATAAGTCCCACTGGCCTGCATGAATTTGCGTTGCCATGCGTTGCGTTGCATTGCTACGTTGTGCCATGCATCGGTCTGTTTTCACTGATTGGCTCTGCGTTGTTACGTGTTGATTTGCATTGCATTGAATCGCATTGTGTTGCGTTGTTTTGGATGGCATGTTCCATGCTCTGCAATGCTGTGTGTTGCGTTGCAGACAAGTGCCATGTGTCTTGGGGCCTCTTGGGAACCTATTCGGCGCTTCGTGGGGATCCAGACGTAATTGCTCTTCCCTTCGTCATGATGATTCGACAGCGGCCTCCTGGGTGGCCGAGGCACCGGGATACCCAGAAGTGCGCGTTCAAGTGTTCGTTGGCCACCATCGACGGCAAGGACGTCAACGTTTTCAAGGCTTGCTGCCGGGGAGTTGGGCAAGATGGGGAGGGGGAGCAGGGGGAGAATGAGAGAGAGGAAGCAGAGGAGGAGGAAGATATGGAGGAGGAGGAGGAGGAGAAAGGTAAGGAGGAGGCGCAAGACGATGACTAGGAGAGGAGGAGGAAGAAAGGAGTTGGAGGAGGTGGAAGAGGAGGAGCAGGGACGACATGCATGCAGGATAAATATCTACACATATGAAGAGAAGGAGGGGGACTTGGGGAGTTGCCATTTGGAGCAAGAAGAGGAAGAGGAGACGGAGGAGGAGGAAGATATGAGGGAGGAGGTGCTGGATGATGATGATGTTGTTGCTGATGCTGATGATGATGACGATGATGATGATGATGATGATGATGCTGATGCAGATGCTGATGCTGATGCAGCTGTTGATGATGATGTTGATGATGATGATGATGCTGATGATGATGTTGCTGATGATGAGTATGCAGATGAGGATGAGGACTAGCATGATGAGGATGAGGATGCTGCTGATGATGATGCCGATGATGCTGATGATGATGCTGCTGATGATGATGATTATACATATGATGATGCTGATGGTGATGGTGGTGGTGGTGATGATGCTGATGATGCTGATGATGACGATGTTGATGCTGATGATGATGTTGATGATGGTGGTGGTGGTGATGATGCTGATGATGATGCTGATGATGTGGGGAGGAGACGGAGGATGAGGAGGAGGAGGAGGACGACGCCGAGAGGCCTTGGAGGAGGAGGTGGAGGAGGAGGTGGAGGAGGAGGTGGAGGAGGAGGTGGAGGAGGAGGTGGAGGAGGAGGTGGAGGAGGAGGTGGCGGAGGAGGAGGCGGGAGGAGGAGGCGGGAGGGACGACATGCACGCAGGATGAGGATCTCTACGCATGAGGAGGAGGAGGAGGAGGAGGAGCAGGAGGAGGAGGAGGAGGAGGAGGAAAGAGGACGGGTCCTTAACGGCTTTACGACTTGCAGGGATCACGCCTGACGAATCGAAGCAACTCCAAGTACATCCAGGGAAATTGAGACACATAGGTGAATTCATGGGTCTCCTGCTGAGTTGGAGAATCCGTGGCGGCTCCAGCCAGCGTTGAGGGACACCAGAAGCCGTTGAGCCCTCAACGAGAGGGGGGGGCGCAAGGACCCCATCACCGACAAGGGCAAGCAGTCCAAGAAGGGCAGGCTGGAGCTGGACTGCGTCGACGGCAAGTTCACGACCTGCACGGAAGGCCGCGCGGGCACGGACCGCCCCCGTCCTCGTTTGTCCATCCCCGATCCCCGAGGGCCTTGACGACCGTTCTCCAATCGACTTGCGAGGGAAGTACGACAGAGTCAGATAAGTCGTGGAGCCGGCTGGGCCGCCACTCATGGATTCACACGCGCGGGCCTAATATGTACATACATAGATGTATCCACACATATAGATATACATACATGCAAGCATGCATACATACATACATGCATACATACATACATGCATGCATGCATACATGCATGCACGCATGCACGCATGTTTGCATTCATGCATTCATACATGCATACACACAAACATGCATGCGTGCATCCATTCGTATATACAGACATACACATACACATACAAACATGCATGCATCGATATATATATATATATATATATATATATTGTAATAGAATACACCTATAATTCAACATCGTACACTATACTATAATATAATGTAATATAGTATAATATAATAGAGTATAGTATGCTACAATATAACATAATAAAATATACTATAATACAATCGAATATACGTTACTATCATATAGTATACTTGGCTATACTATAATATAACATCATATGATATAATATAACATGATATAATATAATATAATAGAATGTATAATCTAAAAGTTAAAATAATATAATATCATACACTATAATATACTATAATATAATAATATAGTGTACTATAATATATTATAATATGATATAGTATAACATAATATAATAAAATAAATATAATATGTTATCATATAATATAATATAATATAATATAGTATGATATAATAAAATAAAATATAATAGAATATATGTATAACTATATACATTTGTATGCATACATGGATATGCAGCTATACAGCATCTTGTCATAGGATATATTTATCCAGTTGGCATGGCCAGCCAGCGCCCGCCACCGAGCACGTACTACACGATTGCTGAGCGTGCGTGCCGCCCATGTGGGGGGCCGGCGCACACATGGCACACTCCATCGGGAGCCTCGAGACGGGGGTCAGTGCAGACGGGGGTCAGCCAGGGCGCCGGATCCTGCAGGATCCTGCGAAGACCCCCTCTGGCTGACCCGGGTTCTCGTGGCCGCGAGGCGGCCGCGCCTATTGGTGGACCCGGTTTTGCGAAGACCTTTTTTTGTTCCTGCATTTCAGTTTTTGGTTTCCTGCTGACCCGGGTTTGGATTGACCCGGGTCAGAAGATCCCCGACTCCAGATTTCGTAGTAAAAAGGAGGGGGTCACAACGCTTCCAGCAGCCGTAAAGGGTGTCCTTTTGCCCAGACCCACTGGGGCCCTCCGAGACAACTCAAGTCAGATCCTCCCCCCCAATGTGACCTCCCCCTTATCACGAAATCCTGAGTAAACCGGCATGTTTGGGTGATGCAGATGGGTGTGTCCGGGCCTACTGATTTGCATCGGCTCGCGTAGATGTTGGAAGTGGCCGGAGGGTCTTCGCTTGATGGGCCCCATCGAGAGTCGGCCGAGCAGGAGGGACGAGGGCAAATCCGCTCAGAGTCTGTTCCCGGACCCCTCCTGGGGTCGAAGGTGACCAGTGTTCCGCATCGCCTTCAGCCCTGGCGACGAGTGGGTCCCCTTCTCCCTGCTTCCTGCTGGCTGGAACCAGTGCTGGGCCACCTGTCCCCCCTTTTAGGTCCCTCTGCGTCCCAACTCACGCGGCTGAAACGAGCCGTGGACGCCCCCGCGCGAGCAGAAGGGTCGCGGCGCCGTGGGGAGGCAGCTTTTCCACGCTCTCGGGCCCCCAGAGGTTCATTTTTGAGGCCCCTGGTCCATCAGACAAGACAACCCAGGATGAGGTGGTCGAGGGTCGAGTGGGGAGGCGTTTCTCCTCCCTCTCCTGCCTCCTCCCTCCTGCTGCTTTCTCTTCCTCCTCCCTCATGCATCCCTCCTCCCTCCTCCCTCCTCCTCCCTCATGCATCCCTCCTCCCTCCTCCTCCCGTCTTCCTTTCCCCTCCCTCCTTTCTCCTCCTCCCTAATCCTGCATCTTCCTCCTCCCACCTCCCCCCTCCTGCCTCCCTCCTCCCTCCCGTTCTGCTCTGCCCGACGGAAGCGGTGCGTCTTCCTCTTGAGCGGCACCCCCGCTGTGAGTTTCGGGTGGTCCGCCCGAGGCCGCAGCATTTCTGGCCCGCGGGGCGTTCCGAGGGCAGGGCGCGCTCGCGACGCCCAACCGCCGCCGCCCCCCTCTCGTGGTCGTCGCTGGGCCTCGTTTGCGAACAGTCTTAACTTTCAGCCTTGGTCTACTGACCGCAGAGGGTCTTTACTGCTGCACCCCCTCCCCCCCCCTCGAAAAGCCCTGGGCTGGCAATACGCGTCCTCCCTCTCCTCGCCCTTCCCTCCTCGCCCTCGTCGTCGTGATCGTCACGATCGTCGTCGTCTTTCGTCGTCGTCGTCGTGATCGTCGCCGCCGCCTTCATATGGGGCTCGCGCAAGTGACCGTGCGCCGTAATGACTTGCCACTGTTGCGCTGAAATTGTTCGGTGTAGGAACCTGACCGCCTTCAACGACGAGGCGTCACCCAGGCTCTAAGGCTCAAGCGGACCAATCTTACCCGCCCCCCTGTGGTGTCGTTTTGCCATAGTCTGACAGGAATTGCCACGTCGCGCCGTCTTTCTCGAAATCAACGTGTGGCCTTTGCTTCGTTCAGGAACCAGCCGCCCTCCAGGCCGTGCAATCCACCAGTACCCTCCCTTCCTCCCCCCCCTTCCTGCCCCCGCCCCTCCTTCTCCCGCCTCCTCCAGGTGAGTCTCGGGGGGGGCGCCGAAGGGGGGCTTGGGGACTGCGGTGGGGGCCCCCTGCCGCCTGCGTTTCGTCCGCGCACGCGCCTTTGGCCATGATTGCGCCAACCCCCCCACCTCCTTGCCCTGGAGGGTTTCTCCGAAGGGCTTGGGCGACCCAGCCTCCTCCTCCGTCTCCTCCTACTCCTCTTCCTCCTACTCCTCTTTCTCCTCCCTACCTCCCTCCGTCCCTCCCTCCCTCCTATTCTCCTCCTCATCCTCCTCCTCCTCCCTCCCTCCCTCCCTCCCTCCCCCTCATCCTCCATCCTCATCTCCTCCTCCTCCTCATCTCCTCCTCCTCCTCCTCCTCCTCCTCCTCCTCCTCCTCTTCCTCCTCCTCCATCTCCTCCTTCTCATCCACCTCCTCCTCCTTCTCCTCCTCCTCCTCCTCCTCCTCCTCCTCCTCCTCAGGTCGCCTGCGGCCACGGGGGAAACCGTGCACCGTGCCCCCTTGTTTGGCGCGCCCGCTTGTGCTCTGCCTCGCGAGTTAAAGCACGGCGCTCTCTCGGCGTGCGCCCGCTCTCCCGCCGCTCCTGCTGTGCCCACTATTCGGCCCCGTGGCTTCCCTTGGCTGCTCTCGACCGCGGTGCGGATCCGCGCAGTGGAGAGCGACAGATCTGGCGCACCCGAAAGGGGTCGAGGAGTCTGGGATTGCGCGAATCGGCCCTGGGGAGGGGGGGGGTCGACTGGTGATCGTTTTTTATTCATTGTTCTGCCGATCGGCGCGGGCCCTCCCCCCCTTCCGCCCAATGTCGAAACGGCGAGCAAAAAACAACTCACCATCCGGTCGTCGGAGATGCCCGACCGCATTGGAGCCAGACGTCTGACGCCTCGAACAAAAATCGCAGCGGTTGGTTGGTCGCCCGTTTGGTTCTTGATGGGCCAGGTCTCGGGCCTCGGGATGGACACCCGGCCCTGGGGAGGGGTCGAGAGGTCAGGAGGCCCATGCATTGAACAAGTCGAACCGCCAGATGTTTGTGTTGTATCCTTCGGAGGGTGATGCACCATAAACGGCACAACACAGATTGTCGGAGGCCCGTTCAGATCTCCTGGGTCGACGCCCGACCTCGTCCCGCGCATACTCCGGACCCAAGCAGCCCGCGCGGACCTCGGAAGATTGCTGCCTACGCAACGTTATGCAATTCCAACGGAAGGTGCCTATACGGCAGCTCGGATCCGACCCAAACGGAGCAGTCAGATTTGACCCTGAGAGGTCGCCTTATTTCATTGGCTCTGACGTCGTACCTGGCCACGGTGTTGCTCCAGGGATGCAGGTGTACAGGATACCCTCGGGAGTTACGAAGTGCGGCTTAAGCACAGATTTGCTCTGGACGAATGACTAAAATATTTGTTCGGTTGCGATTGTCTCGGAGGGGGATCGCGACGAAAGGCAATAACAAGCGGACAGTGCAGGGTGTATGGGGCGAATCACAGGACATGCAATGAAGTGTGCGCAGCGCCGTGCTGGACTGCAGCCCCGCAACAAATGGTGAGGGATGCTGCATCGGGCTGCGTTGCACACATAATCCAACGAAGTACCTCCTGCAATGACGGCTGAATGCCACAATTCATTGGGGGTATTGGACATTGATGTGGATTGTAGTAGCGTAACCGCGCATCATTATTGTTTGATGCTACGTGCTTGCGTCGAAAATGGTGATCGGGGCCTGCGGTCCTTTCTGGCGGGCCCGGTCCATTACGATTTCGACATTCCGACGGTCCGATGTTGTTTGGTGCTAGAATGTTAATGTCGTGCATTCTGGTGCATCCGATCCGATTTGATCAGTTCGGTTCGACCCATCTGGTGCAGACTGATCTTGGCCCGCTCAAGCAGAGCTGGGCTCCAGCTTATCAGCTTGAAGCAGATACGTATCCTCATGTTTGACAACCTTACTTCGGTGCCGATCTTAATGATTCTTCAGTTTCCGAGGGCACATCCCTACGACTGTCATCGCCTTGGGCTTGCCGATTTAGGGAATAGAGGGGTAAGTTCGAGGCTGGTTTGCGGGGAAGGGGGGCAGGGAGCTGGGGCGTCGTCCCGTTGCAGTCAGGGCGTTCAAACGGGGACCACTTTGGGCTCAGGAGGGGCTCTGGCTTTACGGCCGTTGCTTCGATCCGGGTGCTCCTCATTTCACAATGGAAGGGTGGTGGCCTGATTTTTCGGGGGTGTCTGATTTGGGCCGTCCTGGAGGGCTCCTGTGGGGTCTGGGCCAGAAGGGCGCCCTTGCAGGGCTGGGCTGGTCGTCTGGGAAAACTGTGCCCCGCTCCCTGTGACTGCGAAGCTTGGAGCAGGGGGTGGTCGTGGCCCAGGCTCGGCATGGCCGGCAGCGCCCCGTCGCTCCTGCTTTGCCGCTGCTCGCTCCAGTCGAGCAGTCGCGAAGCGTCCTGGCGCGCCTATAGCCCTACTAAGCAATGTTCCAAGAACCTTTTGTGGTCTCCACGGAGTGTTCTTAGAACATGTCTGGCTGGAGCTGTCTTGTTTTAACACGTCGGGTTGATGTTCTGAGAACACTGTTTCGGTTCTTAGAACATCTGTGGGTTCTGAGAACACTTCGTGGTAGGACTACAGGGGTGCTGGGGCGGTCGGTCTCTGCTCAATCCAGCACGATGACTGGCTGCACCCGTGCCCACAGGCAAGAAGGCCACGAACAACGTCTTGGTCGAGGTCTTCAGGAGCGGCGAGCTGCTGATCGACGACACGTTCGATGCGATCAAGAAGCGGGCTGAGCTCTTTTAGGCGGCGACCCTCTCTAGGGTAGGAGGAGTTAATTGATTATTTAGTTGACGGAAGACCATCTACGTAAACATAGCTTGCCGGAGGTCCGCGTAGATTTATTGGATCGGCGTTGGACCCCCCTCACTGGCGATCCGAAACATCCGCGCGGAGCTGCCCAATATCATGTTTACGCCGTTTGTCTTCATCGATCGCCCAAGCGCTCCGCGCATTCGTCGGATCCATCCTGCGGGATGGTATACCATGCTGTTACTCATGAGGATCGGGAAGTTGCTGGGTGGTGGCAGCTTGCTCCCAGCATTATGATGTTCCAACCTACTTTAGCCTTGAGCGGCAGAAAGAAATCCGAGCACCAAAAAAGTACCGAAGCTCGAGGGTGTTCACGTGTCGTGCCCTGGGAGACACTCTTCTGATATTGTTTCGACCTTTTTTTTTCGACACTCCTTCGACACTTTTCCGGGTGCTCGAAATTATTCCTGGGATGTGGTGGTTGGGCCCCCAAACGGTGAGGTGACCACACCGTGCGGTGAGCCAGTGGGGATTCGGGGTCACCGCACGGTTTTGGGACTCGGGTCCTTCTCCGAGGACGTCTCGGGCGACAGGGGTTAGTACTAAAGAGCCCTGCCCTGTTCGATTCTTCTTTGGGCGCGTTTACTACACGGCTTCGCGTGTCGGGGTGGTCATCATCGGGGTGGATGTTTTGCCCTCCAGAGTCGGGGGTGGACAGACCTCCTACCCTGACACGTCGATTGAGGAATTGGCCGTTTTCGGTTCGCGAGAGGGCCTCGCGGCCGTCATTTTTGCGGGTCCAGGTCCGTCGGTTTCGGTCCCAGGCCGTTTTCACTAGAGGGTGGTTTACTAAAGGGAGGTTTGTCCATGGCCGAATTTTTTCTCGGCGAGAACCATCGAGGACCATCCTGGACCATCGAGCAAAAAAAAAACACGCACGAAACCGAGAAATGCAAATTCCACTAAGGGGAGGCCTACTACAGGGAGGTCTGCCCACCGCCGATGGAGATGGCCGCGGTTCCCGGTGCATCCCCCAGACCCGCCGGCTCTCAGAGGCTCCCGGCTGGCTCGCGGGGCTGCTGTCGGAAACCGGAGCGTCTACACTGCCGGTGGCGGGCTGTGTGTTTCAATTCGGGAACCTCGAGACGGGGGTCAGTGCAGACGGGGGTCAGCCAGAGCGCCGGATCTTGCAGGATCCTGCAGCGCCAGGGTCGCATTGAACCGGGTTTGGGTGCAGGATCCTGCAGGATCCTGCAGGATCCTTCGCATTGACCCGGGTTTGGGTGCAGGATCTTGCAGGATTTTGCAGGCCTGATTGACCCGGGTCTGGATTGACCCGGGTCAGAAGATCCCCGATCAATCCCACGACTTTTTGTTGAGGGTCGGGGACGTCGTAAAGCAGGGCTAGGATCGGGATAAATCGCTCCAGAGCGTTCCGGAGCGCTCTCAGAGCGCTCCGGAACGCTCTGGAGCGGCCGCGGCGCCCAATACATCCTCCAAACCCGCCGATTCTCAGAGATTTCGAGTTATCCCGATCCGATTTTGTTCCGATCTTCGCGTCGTTTTACGTCGGGGTGGTGTGGTGTATACCGTATACCTTTTCCCCCGTTCTCCCGAGGGAAACGACGAAAAATGTATACACCAGGATCCCGTACACACCAGGATCCGCGGGGTCTGTGCGAATTTCGGCGCAGGGTCGGAAAGTCGGTGTATATAGAGTTCGTTTCCCTATCATGCCGTTCCGCCGACCCCCAGAGGGAAAAAGAAGAGCACGGGCGAGCCCTTTGGGTGGCTTCGTTGGGGTCTCTCGGAGTCCGTTTCGGGCCTTCTCGGGCGCCTGCTTGCGGTCTCGGGCGTCCTTTTGGGGGGCAGGGCTCGCCACGTCAGTTCGAGCTGCCCCTCTCGGGCTCCTCTTGGGGCCCTGTTCGGGCCCTGCCATCTTGGGCGACTCTTGGGCCGCCTTGGGACCCCCCCTTTGGGCCGTCTTGGGGCGTTCCTGGGGGCTTCCTGGGCCGTTTCGGACAGATCTTGGCCTCTTGGGCAGTCTTGGACCCCTCGTGAAGCCCTCTTGAGGCTCTCTTGGGCCGCCTTCGGCGGAAGGGCCCTGGGGCCTTCTTTGGGGTTTGTTGGCCCTGACCTTCTAGAGAACTATGTTTTAGCACTGGAGGCCTAAAAACGTAACAAAACTAAGCGAAACGCCCTAAAACCAAGACGTACAATAGCTTTGGGATCAGTTTTTAGGTCGGGTGCTATTTTTTAGCCCTCCTGGAAGGTCAGGGGGGGTCTACATCTTCCAGTCCCGCCGGTTCTGAGAGATTCTTGATTTATTCCATCCCGATCTTGGTTCCGTCTTGGAGTAGGGCTGGAAACAGACGGCCGAAGAGGCCTCCAAGGTGGCCAAAGAGGCTCCAGAGTCGCCACAAGCGCACGAGAGGCCCCAGGAGAGGCCCCAAGATTGCTGCAAAACAGTTCCCCAGCCAGTTTCTGCACTGAAGCAAACCCGATCTGTCTCGGAAAGATTCGCGTTGCGCCAGCGCTGATTTCTGTGGCCTGGCCTTATTCCCGAGTGCGACGAGGAAGGGCTGACAACTCACAACGTTGACGATGGCGATGACGGTGGCAATGATGATGATGATGATGATGATGATGATGATGATGATGATGATGATGATGCTGATGCTGATGCTGATGATGATGATGATGATGGTTGTGATGGTAATGGCGATGATGATAGTGACGACGATGATGACAATAAGATGCTGACGAGGATGACGACGACACTAATGTTGCTGCTGCTGATAATGATGATGACGACGACGGGACTGACGATGACGATGACAAACAACATGGTGCTGTTGATGACGATTATGAGGATTGATGATGATGAGTTTGTTGTTGATCATGATGGCAACTGATCGTGATCACAAACGGAATGCTGATTGAGTTGATGAGGATGGCAGTGGTTTGATGTTGAGGGTACTGATGATGATACACATGATGGTGATGGCGATGACGTCGGAAGTCATGAGTCTGATGATGATGATTATGTTGATGATGATGATAATGCAGATGATGCTATCGATGCTGACGATGCTGATGCTCATGACGATGATGGTGACGATGGTGATTCGTTAGCCGATAATGATGATGATTATGCTGATCATGATAATGATGATGCTGATGATGGTGAGGATGATGATGATGATGATGATGCAGATGATGCTGACGTTGTTGATGATGATAACGACGACGATGCTGATGATGATGCTGACGATGTTGATGATGATACGACGACGATGCTGATGATGACGATGATGGTGATGATGATGATGATGATGATGATGATGATGATGATGATGATGATGGCGATGGCGATGACGATGACGATGGTGATGACGATGATGCGGCCGCTGATGATGAGGAGGAGGCGTACGGTGAGGAGGATTACGTTCTGATGACGATGACGACGACGCGCACGATTACGACGGCGATGATGACGACGACGACGGTGACAGCCATGACGATTACGATACTGATGACGGTCATGATGTTGTCGATGACGACGATGATGACATTGATGATATGTATTTGCGATGATGATACTGCTGGTAGTGATGACGATGCCGACGAGGATAGTTATGCTTCTTCTGTTATTGTCGCTGCTGCCGATTATGGTAAGTAGTAGGCTAACGATGACATTGACGGCGAGGGCGTTGTTGATGATGATGGTGATCATGATCATGATCATGATGATGCCGATGCTTATGAATTTGATGATGACGACAATGATGATGATGATGATGGCTATAATAATGATGATGCTGTTTATGATGATGATGATGATGATGATGATGATGATGATGATGATCCTGATTATCATGATGAGCATGATGATCATGCTGATGATGATGCTGCTGCTGCTGATGATGATGATGATTATTAAATTAGTATTGTAGTGGCCTCGGGTCAGTGCCGCCGATCCGGGGGCGCTTCGACTGATGTTATCCTATCCTCCTTCGCCCTCGTCCGTCCTCTCTTTTGCCCTCCCTCCCCTTCTCACTCTGCATTTATCTAGTGGCCTTCGGCCTATCCCCCCACCGTGCCTGGGTGGTGGGTCAGAGGCCTCATGGATGTTGGTTGGGATCTCGTGGTTGGCCTCTTCGGGGCCTCTGGGAGGCAGTTTTGAGGTCCCCCCGGGCCTCTTGGGCAGTTGCGGGGCTTCTTGGGGCCACTTTGGGGCCTCTTGGGGGCCTCGTTGTGGCCTCTTGGAGCTTTTTGGGCGCCTATTGGGAGCTTCTTGGGGCCTCTTTGGAGCCTCTTGAGAGCTTCTTGGAGCGGGAGGGGGGGGGGGTACTCGAGTTCTGGACCCTCTCGAAGGCCACGATCCTCTTGAGGGGTGTCAAATAATAACCTCCCCAGAGACACGCGGGTAGCCGCGACAAGCCCTAGGAGCCCCCCCGGAAAGCGGAGCACAACTCTTCGTCCCCCCCCACCCCCCTCTCCCCCCTTCCCCGGCAGAGCCCCCCTGGTCTCCCCCCAGCAGAGCTGAAGCTCAGGCTGTAGGCTGCAGGCTGTAGCTGAGGCTTTTTCAAACTCACGCGCCGGATCAGCGGATTATCATTCTTATGACGATGATGCTGATGATGACGAGGAAGAGAAGGAGGAGGAGGAGGAGGAGGAGGAGGAGGACGCAGGGGTGGACAAGGAGAGACTGGGAAGGAGGAGGAAGAGGTTAGGGATCACGTGGATCGGCAACGGGTATGAATAGGACGAGTTTGTGGCCAGGATGGGTCCGTCTGATTAGCTTTCTGTGCCCCAGCCGAGGGCTATGCCGCTCGTCCAGCCTCCCTGTTGCTTTTGCGCTCTGACTTTCAGGCTCGGGCGTCCCGATTTTTTCACACTGTGCGCCCCCTCGGACCCGAAGAGGCCGGAGGGAGCGATGCCCCAGCTAGCTCGTGCCAAGTCGTCCGCGAGCTGGCACCGAGATGGTCGGG